AAAAATATTGGATCCCTGTCCGAGATTTCTTTCCAATGTGCCCTAGTAACCGAGAAAAAATATTTATTACTTTTCTTATATTACTGTTTGATGTCTTTGCTCTGCATGGATTTCAATCTAACAATCTATAAGCTGGATTCGGTGGATATTTTAGGGACCAAATAAAAGGTTGTATGTACCAATTTAATATGGTTATTCTTCTTGCGCTAAATTGTTTTCTGGTATTGCATACATACATATTTAAAAAGAAAATCACTGAAGGAAATCTACTGCCAAATATTTCAATACTTTCATTTCAATTATTTTAGTAGAATAGCTTGTTAAGTTAAAAGTAGCATTTGAAAAAAAAAAAATCTGGTGTGTCCACTCACACGACTTTTCTACCTATTTCAGAAAAGATTTTATATCTTTACATGTGTTCAGGAAGAAACAAAAAAGAATTGAACTAGATACATTTTCCTAAAAATTGATCAAACATAAGATTTGAGTACGATTTATTTGATAAACTAAAGCAATGTAAACCGGCTTAAGGTAGATCAGTGTAAAAATTTCAATACTTCCTAATATTGTTTTGTTGGTAATTTAATTACCTTTCAAAAATTTTATTATAAATTTTACCGTATAATATATACTTACGGAGTTTAGGCCCTATAACATTTTTCTTTTCTTTATAAATTTTTTTCCTGAATTTTTTTGGGAATTTAGTCTATATACGAAAATTGAAAGAACAATGATTAGAACATTATAGGAAAGTTTCGTCAAAATTGTTAGAGCCGTTTTTGCGCTACAGTCTATAGAAAAACATGTTTTTCATTTATTGCGCGCAAGCTATTGCGCATGGAGCACAGAATTTCTGTCACAGCCATCAGTAGTCAAAACCCTACAAAATAAAAAAAGAAGCAACAAAATCGGTTCAGTATTTCTCGAGAAAATCTTGGAACAGACAGACAGACAGACCAATGGCTAAAAATGTGTTTTTCGGACTCAAGAGGCTCTGAAACGTATAGATCCGTCGAAAACCGCATGTCGGAAATTTGACCCGCTTGCAATACTTTCCTTACCTAGTATAGGTAGGAAAGTAAAAACAGAACGTTTTTGTTTTAACATAAAGAGCCTTGACGACAACAAATATTTTTAATATTTATATTTTTTCTTTTATATTTTAAATTAATTTATTCTTTCACTTCTCTGTGTGAATATAATGTGTGAATGTGAATATATTCCTAAAATATTTCTACTAAATCGTATACTAGGGTAAAGTCGGCTGGAGTCGATTAATTGAATGGTTTAGCATATAGATTAAAATATCTCAAAAACTAAAAATCGGATCTGCATATTTTTAGCAAGAGAAATGTTTATCATTTTATCCTCTCTGTAAAGAGCCATTATTCAAAATTCTTAACGCGATACGTTATTAGGAAGGTGAAAAGGGAAAAAATAATGTGATGGGTAAAAATTCAACATAATGAAACTAGTTTTATTGAAGATATGAATCAGAATATCTCTGAAACTAAAAATCTGCATTGTATACTGTAACCGAGGGAATTGGTAACCATTTCATCCTCTCTTTAATGGACGAATTCAAAGACGCCGTCGTGTTGGAGAGGCGAAAAAGAAAAGATAGTACGGAAAACGAAATTATAAGTTTTCATATTTTAGGCAATAAAACTCCTAATCTTCTTTAGATATATATATATATTTTTTATTTTTTTTATTTATGCTTTTTGTCTCTTACGTTTCGGGACAATTTTCCCATCATCAGAGTAATATTTTTATTTTTACTGAAATTATGAACATTTTCTATATTAATTTCTATTCAACAATATCATTACAATTTATCTATTTAATGGTAAATAATTGTTAAATAGATAAATTGGAATGATATTGTTGAATAGAAATTAATATAGAAAATGTTCATAATTTCAGTAAAAATAAAAAAAATTACTCTGATGATGGGAAAATTGTCCCGAAACGTAAGAGACAAAAAGCATAAATAAAAATAAATACAAAATATGAAGAAGACTGGAAGTTTTATTGCCTAAAATATGAAAAAATTATAAACGTAAGCTTCCTAATAAAAAAGAAAAATAAGAAGAAATTATAAGGAGTTTGAAGGAAGATATATGGGTTAAAACATCTCATAAACTAAAAATCGGACCTGCATGCTGTAAGCGAGAGAAATATTGACCATTTCACCATAATGAGCTATTATTTATAATTTATATTTCATATAATTAATCTCGCTTTGTTGATGTTTTCATTTTCATCGTGTGGTCTAAAGCAAACACCTTGGTTTTTTTTTTAAATGGTAATCAATTTATTTTAAATTAATGTGTTATACCACAAATAATTTTCTATTTTCACTTCTCTATATGTCAAAGTGACAAATTACACCCTGAAATATGAAAGTATTTCTACTAAACGCAGGGTGGTAAGCGAAGGTTGTGTGTTGCAAGCAGCATACTAGATTTATTATTTATTACTTAAACATTTTTTTTTATGAAATATAAATTCACTTTAAAAATAAAATTTATTCACTTTAAAAATAAAATAAAATGTTATAGAATAATAATAGGGTTGACTCTTTTTCAGAATCAAAACAAAAGGAAAAATTATTGAAATCGTGACATTATTAATATCATCCGTAACATCCTATGTTATTTTAAATATACTTGTTTATACAATTTAAATAAACAAACAAAAGTATCTGGGTTAAAAGATTAATCATTCAATAAAGGTACGTGAAATATTTTGTTTTGAAAATATTTTTAATATATATAAGTACGAAACTCCCTTTTCTTTAATTTTAATCGCGAAAACGTAAACAGAATAAATACATGACAGTAAATATTCATTTAGAGTCGAACTGGACCTTGTTGCCAAGGAGATATTGCATATTTTATCTCAGTTTCCTCTTTTATAGTTTCTATTTATTGCCCATAATTTCGCTCACTATCACTCAAGTCTTGGGTTGGTATTAAATTTTGATAGCGCGGTTATCATAATCGCTTAACGAGAAACTTAGATAGTCCTTAAAAATAAATGTTTACATTTTTTATATATCCATCCAAAGCTTCGTAAAAATATATTCAAAAATATCATCCTAGTTCAATAACGATTTAATGGTATGTTATGTAACTCACCACCAATAATTTTCTTGTCTAGTAAAGCTATATAAGTATGTTTAGTTTCTTTTAAAATATTTTCAAGGCTCACTGATGAAACGATAGAAGTAAGTATCTGTTTACATTTAAGGCTTTGCAAACTATTTATAAAAAACGTTTACAAAATCGTATAGTACAAAATCGTATAGTATATATATATATATATATATATATATATATATATATATATATATATATATATATATATAAAGGGAGAGCGGAGCTAAAAGTTACCGGGGTAAATATTTCCAAGTATGATATCTCCTAAGCGAAAAGAGATAACTATAAATCTTATATAGTATGACTTAATCCATATACGTCATATGATTCTTATTGTGTAGTTATAATCTAAACTACGTTATGTATTTCTAATCATTAAGACTGATTAGCTACATCAGCTGTTAATCGCAAAGTGAGATAATGTATAACCTGAAAGTACAACTTAGAAATGTGAAGTAATTGTAATTTATTACTATAATAAAAAAAAAAATCGTTAGAAAATTTTGTTTCATAATTTTGTTAAAATTATCAGGCTTTTTTGACTGAATACTCTTCAGATATTGTTGATTAGCTATTAAATAAATGAGTGTATATTGAAACTTTTTTTTTCATCATCTATGAATGTCTGATTAAATTAACTTACCCCAGTTGGGTTGTTATCTTTTTGTTTAGCTGTATATTAAATTTGAAATAAAAAAATTAGTTAAAGGTAAACACAAAAGTCTTTCAGATTTATGGAGAAGAATATGGTTACAAATAAGTTTGTTAAAAAGCTCACAACGTTTCGCAAAATTCCAGCACATCTCCAACGTTAAAAAATAATTGGGGATATAGATATGGTTTCTTCAAGAAATATTTTCGTATAAGCCCTAATACTTAAAAAAAATTATTCAACAATCAATGACCTTTCGAGCTACCAGCTCATTCTCAAGTCTTCAAAATTTCAAACCAAAAATTTGTATCTATGAAAACGTATTTGATTTAATTATCTCAGATTCAATGTTAAACAATAGAAGGAGGATTTATTACGGAGGTTTTGGAATGGACAAGCATTAGAGTAAATGTACATAAAATGAGATAAAGGATGGTGTTGTTTTGTAGTTGGACCAAAAATTAATAATTAATGAAATTATAATAAAGAAATATGTTTTCATACAAATTTTTGGTTAGAGTTTTGTTACCTACTAAAGTGTCAGTATTTTAATACCTTCAGTGCTCGAAACACGGTGAATAAGAGAAAATATTACAATTTTTATAAATTGATTATATACATTATTTTTAGATTTTATAACTTTCTACACAGTTCATTTGTCTATTTCATGTTTAACCGATCACTATTTTATTATTATTATTAACTATTATCTGTCCTATAGTATTGTACCTCTGATTGTATTAAAATATTTTCAGCCCTGATGATGACCCACATGTTTGGGTTGAAACGTCGGTACCAACAAAAACTTTGTAATAACTGCGTCCTGAATATTTATCATCCACTATAAGGACTTATATATTCCTTGAATTTAACATATATAACAACATTGATAGACCTTAAAAAATACTACTGTATTAGTTAATTATGGACAAATATCGTTGAATAAAAACCATTAAAATTGTATAAGTTGGTGGATTCTAATTCCTAACGTAAATATCTAGTCCAGATAAAAAGTGAAGAAACAAAATCTAATTTAGTCTGTTGGATAATAGATACCTGAATATTATCTTATTTGTGTTGAAATATTTAATAAAAGAACTTTATTCCTTTTCCCTGATTACAAATAATATATCAGAAATGAAAACATTATTCCGAAATCTGACAACCGGATTTCAAACTGAACTTCAAGTTCCTAAAAAAAATATAATAATAACTCGAGGAAAACAAAAAAGATTTCAAAATCGATTACTTTTAAATTATCGATTTCTGAAACCATTATCGGACAAGAATTAAATATTAATAAAAGCAGAGAAGTTAGTAATTGAGAAGCACTTGCTCGACATATTTACAGAATATGAAAGCAATAGAATGGACGTTCAATTCATGAATGTTTGGGAAAATTGTGATAAAAATACTATTTTTCATAAAATATCTATACCAGATATCTCCCAAAACAAATAACAGATTATATAAAAGTGCTACCCCAACAACATAAAAATAACTAATGGTTTTCAAAACAAAATCAATAATAGATAACAATTTCAAAAAAATATATTAAATGTGTCAATTATACACGAAACACGAACTAAAATTTATAATAATAATCAATGATAGATCAGAAAAGATGAGAAAAATCGGTTTTGAATAGGGATTGGATATCTGAGCTTCTTCAAGCCTCATTAATCCTGAACAATGGCTACTACTAAATGATATTGAAACATCTCATCAAAATGACGATTTTTTTTGTCTATTAAAATATATCTGCGACTGTCAACTTTTGTTGACAATCAGCAAATGTGCTGGCGATACAGGAAATAATGACATGATAGGCATGGGGAACGAAACTACTCAGCAGTACCTCTTCCCTAACTTTTTCCAATTACTTAAGTTGTTTAAGGAAGGAGATCTCTCATCCAACGCCTTTTTAATCTCCTCCTCGTGTTCTGATGTATGTCAGCTGTGACCATGTCTCTTATTAGTCTGTTATTATGTCCATTTAAATTGGTGTAAAATCGTTGATAAATGGTCGTTATATGTTGGTCAACTATTGGAAGGTGGAGGTCAGTATGTAGAGTTTTGTTAATCACGTACAAAGGTGCTTTTGTTATGAGTCGCAATAATTTTTATTGAAATGTCTGTTTTTGTAGGAGGGTCTTTTTAGCGATGCCGTATATTTGTAATGAGTATGTTCATGTGGGTTTAAGTAAGTATTTATATGTATTCTGTATCATTTTTAGTTTTGAAGATTTAGCAAAAAGAGGGTAAAGTAGTTTTAGTCGTTTGTTAAGTGGCTTACATTTTATTTGAATCATATTTTATTTATTTCTTTTTATATAGTATTACTTGCTGATTTAAAAGAATTATTTTGAGATTTTTACTTTCCTATCTATACTAGGTAAGGAAAGTATTGCAATCGGGTCAAATTTCCAATATGAGGTTTTCGACGGATCGATACGTTTTAGAGCTCGCTGAGTCCGAAAAATACATTTTTAGCCATTGTTCTGCTTGTCTGTCTGTCTGTGCCAAGATTTTCTCGGGAACTAGTGAACCGATTTTGTTGCTTCTTTTTTTATTTTGTAGGGTTTTGACTAAGTCCGAATGTAATACCTATGTAAGATCACGGATTCATATCATGGTGTCAGAAAGGGATGAATGAGAGAATAAAGATGAATAAGTGAAAGTAAAAAAATCTTCACTATTTCCTCAACTTTTAACAGAAATTATTTTTTGACAATACTAAGCTATGGTAAAAAGTTTTTGATCAGCAATATCAGTGAGTATTGAAATTTTTACACTAATCTATCTTAATCCGGTTTACATTAATTTAGTTTATCAAAATAATTCGTACTCAAATCTTTTCTTTGATGAATTTTCAGGAAAATAAATCTAGTTCAATTCTTTTTTGTTTCTTCATGAAAATATGTAAAGATATAAAAACTTTTCTGAAATAGGTTGGAAAGTCGTGTGAGTGGACACACCAGATATTTTAATTTTGCAATTGTTAAATGAAATTCAGAACCATTTAACTTTACATTTTACATTATATTTTCAATTCATTATTTTCTTAAACAAATTTACTGTTAAATGTATTATTAAATACATTGAACACTTAATACTAATATTTACACTATACAGGGTATCTCAATTCTTAATAGCCAAACTTTGGGGGAGGGTGGGAGGATTCTAGAAAAATTTCCATCAAAAAAGTTGAATTTATGCATGGGCCAAATCCGAACGGAATAGAAGTTAACACCAATTTTATGTTTTTCTTAAGGTTGTCATGTTTTCTATTGAATAAGAAGGAAATGCTCAAGAAAATATTCAAAATAATTAAATTCTATGTCCACCATCGTAAAGTAGACAATGATGTCTTTTGAGAAAAGAGTGATTAAATTTACTAAGTTCGGTGATAAAAGGGACTTTCAGGAGATCTAATACAAGACCGCTTGTACTGCTGCGTACGAATCGGGAATATTGAGAAATGCTGCTCTTGTATGGGTACCGTAACAGCAACCCGTATTAGCCGTAGACTTCTTGAAAGTAAATTAAATAATACTTTATATATATATATATATATATATATATATATATATATATATATATATATATATATATATATATATATATATATATATAACTTTTCCGACTCTCTGAAACGATGAGGTATCAATTGAAAGATGATTTTATGCAAATTTTACGAATACTAATTTCGATAATTAAATTCGTAAAATTATATGATAATGATAATTAAAAAGTAGACTGCTACCAATGTGTAGTCTCTCAACATGTGTTTCATGTCATTATATCCATGTGCGAATTTACCAGATGTATTTTTTATATAAAGTTGTAAATATCATATAAATAAAAAAAATCATAAAATAATTTTATCAATGAAATTCATTTAAAAAACACAAATGGTGGCTTCTGTCAACGGATCGGAACGGATTAAATTTTGTATTCAAGATTTTAACGCGAACATCAAGACGTTCCTAAGTAACTATACCGAATCCTGTATAGCCCAAAAATGTCACGTTTTTTTTAGATAAATCGTAATTCTTATCGAAAGCCATTTTTTGTGACGCTATATTGCCATGGGTAGCAAACACGTTTTCGCCATGTGTTATAAATTAAAAAATTACTATTTATGACAGTCTTCTACGAACTAAAAATCAATTGAGTGGCCTCAAAGACAGGCATCTGTCATTTTCAGAGTGGAGTGGAGAAAAAGTCAAATTTGTTTTATAGGTTCAACTAAAAATGTTTCAAATAATTTTATTTATAATGTTGAAGTTGTATTATGAAAAAAAGATATTAGGATTGGTTTAAATAGAAACTATGTAAAAAAAATAGAGCATTTCTCTGGTTTTTTTTTTTAAATTGACAGATTTTCATCTTTGATATTAGGCCACTCAATTGAAGAGCTAAATAGAAGAGAATAGTTCTAGGACCCCTCGAGTACTTTTAATAAATAAAAAATATATCTATGTATGGTTTCTATAATCATTAATGATCATTAATGGACTTCTATACTCTGATTAAATGAGAAAACTACAAACCAAGACCTTTCTGCACAAAACAAATGTTCGAATGTTATTTAACGTGAGTTTTCTCAATGGGTTGGTTTCCAGAGAATTTTTTTGTTCATTCATAATTATTTCAGAAATCATTTTCAGGAAGCAGAAGGGGTAACCTTCTGAGAAAATTATTGCAAATGACAACCATTTTTGGTGAAAGTGATAATATAACTGAGTGGTGTGTATATTTAAAAATAATTTTATGATTAATGAAGTATATATTTTTTGATTCATGATTCTTACCATGCATGGGCCCGAAGACTACGATGACCACGATCATCAGAAGCATAACCCTTTTCCTTCTGTTGTTCGCGCCGCTCTTGAACGCCACGCTGATGGTATCCTTGATGTGTTGGAGGTCGAAAAAGTCCCTAAAGAACCCGATGATGCCCGGCTTCACTTCATCCTCCAGACTTATTTTCTCGTTCGGAACTGACGGCTTCTTCTCCTCCGGAATCTTGTAATAGCCATAGAAGAAGCTGAGGATGTAAATCGACGCGGAAAGCGAGAACACCCCGTAATACCCGATTTTCTTGTACAGGATACCAGAGACGGCGGTTCCTATAGGAACGCTTATGGAACTACAGACGTTTACGATTCCTATTCTGAGTGTCCTCGTTTCAAGCGAGGTGATGTCTCCCATGTAAGAGAAGACTGCCATGAACATGGTCATCCAGCCTCCTGTGAAAGCCGGGAAGATAGCTTCTGTTATCCCGGCCACTTCCATGGGCAGCTCGTAGAAGAAGTACGTGCATAGGATGAGACCTATAGCAGTCATGAACTCACCGGTGATCGGCAAGAGCATGCACGGCTTCCTCCGACCCCGCCGATCCGACCAGGATCCTAAGAAGAGGATGAGGAAAGCGGGTACGGCGGATTGAACGAGAGTCTTCCAGATGGCCATCGAAGCGACCAATTGCTGTACTGCTTGTTCTTCCTTGGTATAGTTGGCGGTTTCCCTCCGCTCGAGGGCCGTGCAGACCTCGTCGCCGAACTTGAGGTTGACCCGGCAGGCCTTCTCCAGGTTGAGGTTCTGGGTGGCTAGGATGGCCACCACGCTGCCGATGATGTACCATGCCAGCATGGGCTCGACGGTCATGCTGAGGTAGAAGCCGCGGACGGCGGAGAAGACGGAGGTGCGGTCCTTGCTCTCGACCATGTTGGCATCGCCTGGCTGAGGACTGAGTGGACTGCCCGTGGCGGCTCCCCCCACCGCCCCTCCGCCACCCGCCCCTCCTCGCCTCGACCTTATCGTCCGGGGCTCACCTATTAAGGCTAAGGGTAGGAGGGTTATTTTGCCCTCATGACCTACATTTATTCATAAATATAAAGATAATAATAATAATAATACTTTATTTATTCTGGGACGAGTCTCTTTAGAATAATACAGAAAGACATAAATATGGACTAAGAAGCCTTACAGATACATAAATAAAAATACAGAGTAATGAAATAGTCATAGTAAAAAAATGAAAAATTATAAGTTATTTTTTAATTTTAATCAGTTAATCATAAAAAATAAAAAAATTAAAAAAAAAAAGGATGAAGTAAAAATAATGAAGAACGAAATATAGAGTATCATACATAATATTCATCTTTAAATTTTGTAAATCTATTTTTAAAAATCTTAAAAAATGTTTCTACTCCCTGCTCACGAAAAAAATTAAGATTGTTAAAAAATACCACAGATATTATATGAAAAATATCTTAAATAATACCCTTCAAATAAATTAAACATCAGTTGAACTCAAGCTCTCAAGCAAATATATAATTAAAATAACTCTGTATAATCAAGCTTTCATAATTAAACCAACTGACGTGAATTTTATATTCAATAATAAAATTCCCGAAGATCTGTAACACATATACATCATTTTCCCAATGCATACAAATTATAGACAACACTATCTGCCCAATATCGTGCAGCACAATAGAACATAGTTTGAGGAATTATTATCATCAATAAATATTTCAATTCTGAGAAATATTCATTATTATTTAGAAACAAATATTTCGCATTAGATATTAGAATTATCATTAATACATAATTAGTTACTTTGATCAGGAGTTCTCTATTTAATTCAAATTTAATGAAAAGTAAAGTTAATCAAAAATGCCTTTTTTGGCGCATCTCTTAATATATTTTTAACATTCATGCGACTATATCTGTAATGCCCATACTGTACATATAGATGTACATTTTCTCTTTTCTTCTTAGGTATGTACGTATGTATACGTAAACACATGTGTATATTTGTGTTTTTTTTAACACAAAACATTTAAAAATATAAACAAAAAAGTATTTTTTTATTGGAAAAAACTATCGTGTGATTGCATATATATATATATATATATATATATATATATATATATATTCTTTATAAGTAATTATTTATTAAATTTTCATTTATGTATACTTTTCTTATACAAATCAGCCTGCATCCCGCTTTAATAAGATCGAGTCATCCAGAACAATTCCACTAAGGGTAAGGGAACTGGCAGATTCTCTTCTGCGAGTGCGTAAAGACGTTGAAGAAACAAGAGATCGGTAAGTCATGATGTTACTCAGACATATAATTCGTTTTCAACAACGTCTGAACGCCACGCGTTCTACAGCAGTTACAGATATATGATATCCCCTGTGTAAGGACAGACATGTTTAGGTAGTTTTACAAGGCTACCCTAAGGAAGTATTTTCCTACTTTAAATTACAAAATAGAATGTTATTCTACTAAAAAGAATCTTGTCTGCAGTTTCTGAGCAGCTGCTTTCGAAAATGGAAAATGGAGCAGCAAATTTCGAAAATTTGCTAATTTAGCAAATATTAGGTCAGTAATTTGAGGATCGAAACGGAAAATCCATTGTGAAAAATGTTAGAATTTTTTTTATTTTCTTAACTTTAATACATGGGTATAGACATGTAAAAACAAAATTGCTTACGCGGGACACAAAGAGAAAACTTTTCACAGCCAAAAAAGTCATATTTTCTCGATACTTTTTTTTTTGTTTTTTTCATCTATAACTCCTAAACGATGCATCAAAGCAAAAAATGTACTTAAATTAAAGAACGTTTAATTTTGCGTCGAACGAGGACATAAACTTTATAATTCAGTTGCGTGATAAGGTATAAAACCACGGTCAACCAACGTTGATTTTTACCAAATTTGTCAAAAACTGAGACAAATTACTATAAATGGCTCTGTAACTTGGAAATGAGTTCCCTAACAGGAAAATCCCATAGAATCAAAGTTGTAGAGCATAAAATTTTGCGTCCACTGGGTACTCAAATTTTCATTGTAGGCTAATTATATATCTCGAATCGGGATTTATTATTCCTTTATGAAATTCGGTACATTCTTGTAACTATTGATGTTTCTATGTCTTCCCCTTCTGCTTAATTTTCTATATCCTCAATTCAGTACCCTTCTCTATTTTCTTGGACCGATATATAATTTTCAAGATTTTCCTTTTCGTTTTGACTAAAATTTCTTAATACCTAAGTTTTGCTCCGCAAGGTAATTTTTTTTACACAAGTATTTATTTTAATTATTTATTATATTTCTTCCACCAAAAATTGCATTTTCGTGTATATACAAATATTATACATATTCGTATATGACTTTCCCCCAAAAAACATTTTAAAAATCCTAATTAAATTAAAAAAAAAAAATGGGAATGAGAAATATCCTTTTAAGTAAGATGTACTCCCTTTCAAACACCATTCATCAAACTTGGTGAAATTTATGAATTAATGATATGTGTGACACAGAAAAATTAAAACAATTGTTTGGCTAAATGATAAGTGCTTGAGATTAGGGACAGAAAAGACCGAGAATATCAAGAGTCAGAATCATTAACATTAATGCTGGTGTGAAATTGATTTACGCAATAATATTAAATGAATGACGAATAAAAAGAACATTACTTTTAATATATAATTAATCATTAATGACATGCGAATCCTTTGGCTATCAATTATTGTTGTGTAATTCCAATTTCAACAGTATGGATCATTAATTTTAAATCGTGACCTTTGGATTCGCCATGATTTCATATTTTATTTATATGAAAAAATTTTCACAATTAAATCCTTAAAAAAAAACAGTTGTCTTTTGGTTTGTAAGAAATAGTCAACTACATCTATTATTTCCACTTAAAAGATTTCTAATCCACAAGTAGAAATAATAGATGAATTCATTAAAAAATCGTTTTACCAAATTTCATTGCCTAAACTAAATGTTTCTAGTCCTAAAATTTACGTCTAAAATAAAGAAACCAGCTGATTGCTCCAATCATTTTAATGAAATATGGATGAACCTCATAGAAATTTTACGTGGATGTATAGCTTAAACGAGGAAGTTTTTATAAAAGTGGGTTATCTCTAGTATAGTTGGATGAAGGTAAGAAAAAAACTGCAAATAATTTTTTTTTTTAAAACAGTGCTTAGCTTACTTTAGCCGCATAAAAGTTCTCTTCAAATGGTTTTAAGAATAAAGCCCACATGTCGAAATGAAACGAAAGACTTTGAGCAAGCGACTAAAATAATATACTCACATTTTTCTGAATCAAAATGTATGATCAGACAAAAACTATATACATACATTTATCTACTAAAATCCATATGGACATACGCCTTACAAATTTACGGTTCTGCAAAACAGATGCACTTACAAAAATTACAATTATTTCAATCTAAAATTTTAAGACTAATAACAGCAACTTTCTGATACGTAAACAACTAAACTTTACATAACGATTTACGACAAACAACTATCGATCAATACATACTTCAGATTTCATATTAAGCTACACGGACATCACAACGGTCTTATTAACGACATGGTCACAGTTGACGTGCCCATCAGAAGACGATTAAAGAGGAAATGGATGGGAGATCTCCTTTTCTGAATTAAGGAAGCAAACCAAGACCAGGAAGAAGTGCTGCTGAGTACTATTTTTCCTCATGCTTAAAATACCAATTTTCTTATTAATTACAGCACATCTGCTTATTGTCAACTTTGTGACAGGTGAGGATGGAAATAAATAAAAATAAATAAATAAACAAAGCAATGACAAACTCTATCTTGATTTGAAGTAAATTTTGTCTAGTTTACAGTGAAGCAATTGTTAATTGCTTAAATCAAATATTTATTAAGTTATATTTTTTAAGTTTAAATAAAAGTTAAGAATTAAGCACAAAACTTTTCTGCTGAAAATATGCACATTGCTTATAAGAACTTTTTTGTTGCTCTTGGGTTCTACTATCACTCCCAAACAAATTCCCTTTACTTACGGGACACCCTGTGTATATAATCGATTCTATTAAGAAGTCTTATGGTAGTACCTGACTGCCCAAAGAGTGTCAAAGTTTTCTATTTTTAAGAAAACTTCATACGTGGAAGCTGGAATAGATTTTGAGGACGAGATGGGCGAAAAGCTGGGATGAGACAGTTCTTAACATTGTGGTTACGATTCCCTACTTGGTAAGTTAATATTTATTCCTCGAAGGTCGAAAGAATTGAATATTTCTAAGTAACAAAGTCCACTGAGGTTATTACGCGGTGGCAACATTAAGGTAGACGTCAGACATTGACAATCTAATTAGGAAAATGTAATTTTACGACTCCTCATAAATTTGTTTTCAGTTTCTTTTGGGTGAAGTACGATACACAGATAAATTTTAAGGCCTTCAAAGATGGAGACTTTAGAAAAGTTTCATCGAAATCGGTACATTCGTTTAGGCGCTGTAGTGTATATGGTAGAGGATTTTCGACCGCCATCTTGACAGGAAAGTACTTTTGGGTGAAATATGCTATATAAAAAAATTAAAAGAGCTTCGAGGAGACTTTGATCAAGTTTTATTAAAATCGGTACGTTAGGTTAGGCTATAACTGGGAAAATAATAAGACGTAGTTACGGCTTAGGAGGCCACATGTGGCCTCGAATCGTTTTTGCGCTAACAACGTATTCAGTGCTAAAAAAAAATATATATATAACAATGGTAAATTATAAAGAATTATTGAATGAACGAAACCAATGAAAGAAAGGTTCCACACCTATTGGTCAGGCTCTACAGTCAATAGTGACACAGGTTTTTCGGCCGCCATCTTGAAAGGAAAGGGCGGATGGTAATGTCGAGTTCCGAGGATTATCCTCGGGTGCTCTTTGATATTGTTACAGAATCTCAAAACAATGAGTCCAATAGTCTCGCAGGAAAGCCGCAGACGGACAGGTTTTTTTATTATTCGATTTTTGGTTTCTACTTA